AAAGGAGTTGGAGGGGTAGCTTCAGGAATTCCTTAACAAGGGGTTCATTGGTAGGTCAATATGTATGTGTGTTTTGCATCGAGTCGGCTTTGTTGACTCCAAGTTGCTATTGTTGAGGGATGTGTTGGTTTGATTGTTATTGAGCGTATTAGTGTTCTGGGGTGATCTATGAGTTACCTTTCCATGCTGCGAGGCATTATGATTTGTTGGTTATAGGGATATATGGTGCGATTCTATTAGGTTCTCATAGTGGAATTCGAGAGGGAAGAGTATTGGGTATTGCTCGGCGGATAGCGTATCGGTTGTGTCCTTTTAGGTTTGTGTGGTGTTATGTCATTTGCTTCGCCGCGGTTATGATGATTTGTTTTTGGTACTCGACATCAAATTGCGTGTGGTTGTTGATTTTGAGCATAGTGACTTGAGGTGCTTCATGTGGACCAGTGTTTGGATAGGGTCGCGCATTGCAGCAAAGTTATGCGGAAGTATGATCCTTTGGGTTGGATTCATGTGTTTTGGTTCTACGATGTGTGATAGGTTCTCAGGATTGTGTTGTAATGGTATTGGTGAGCTTGTGGTACAACTCTCTCATTTGAGTCACTTTTCCATGATTTGAATACATTTGGACTGTTGCTTATTGATGCGCGGGTCGCACGGGTTGTGGATCTAGATTGTATCGATGTGTCATGTCACTAGAGTAGTTGTGTTGGATGAGATGAGGTCATTGAGATCTAGAATGAATACTATCGGATTCAATTTCAGCATGTTGGAAGGATAATATCGGGATTCAGCTTAGAAATTTACTATGGTTCTTGCCAAAGGAGAGGGAGCTTCACGAATGGTTGATCTGAGGAATGATTATGATTCTGCGTGTTTCTTTCATCATTGGCAGTATATGAAAGTGTTGGAATGAGACTTTAATTTATAAGAGGTTTATTATCAGTATTCGGTTGTTTTGAGCAGCTGTTGTGATTAAAGGTTATCGCTACGAGCGATTGAGTTATGTGGCATATCATGTGATTACATCTTGGGCTACGGATATAGTTTGATATAGCTTTTTCAGACTTATTCAGAGTATAGATGTGAAATTTGGATCTTATAGATAATTTCGGAAGTGGAAATTTTGTTCTAAGGTTAATGGGCTAGGTTGGATTGTGAAAATTCAGTTATGTTGTGTTATCGGACCTATATGGGATAGGGTGACATGGGGTCATCCCCAAGTATGTGCATGGTAAGGTTATACAACGATTCGTTGGCTTTTAGAACAACTCTGGGCACATTCAAGGACAAACATATGTTTAAGTGGGGGAGAATGTAACGACCCGATCGGTCGTTTAGAGAGTTTTAGCCCTGTTTCCCCCCATTTCTGCTTCATTTTGTATGGTTCAGCTCTTTTATGTTGTGTTGAGTTGGTTGGCTTGAGTTCGGAATGATTGTAGAGAGAAATGAGACAGTTAGTCTCTTAAGTTGATTATAAAGTTGGAAAAGTCAACCGAAAGTTGACTTGTGAGTAAATGATCTCAGAACTTGGTTTTTATGGTTCGGATAGATTCGTGAGGTGATTTGGGACTTAGGAGCATGATTGGAATGTATTTTGGAGGTCTGGGGTAGCTTTAGGCTTGAATTGGCGAAATTGGAATTTTGGCGCTTTCCGGTTGGTAGTGGAAATCTTGATATCGGAGTCGGAATGGAACTCCGGAAATTGGATAGGTCCGTAGTGTCATTTGTGATGTGTGTGCAAAATTTCAGTTCCATCGGAGTTGATTTGATAGGTTTCAACGTGGTTTGTGGAATTTGAAAGTTTCTAAGTTCTTAGGCTTAAATCTGAGGTTGATTTGGTGTTTTGGTACTGTTTTGAGTGATTCGAAGGATCAACTAAGTTCGAATGATATTATGGGATGTGTTGGAATGTTTAGTTGAGGTCCCGGGGGCCTCGGGCGAGTTTCGGGTGGTTAACAGATCAAATTCTTGTTTTGGGAAGTTGTAGATTTTCTGGTTTTTGTTGCAGAAGAATTTGTTCTTCGCGTTCACGAAGTAGATCTAGGCCTGGAGGAGAAAATGTTCTTCGTGTTAGTGAGCCGCAGGCCGCGTTCGCGTAGGTTTGGATTCCAGTGAATCACGAATGCGTGAGAGGAATCACGTTCGAGTAGGGTAATTGGAGCAGCTGGGACCCCAGGAGTTTCGTGCTTCGCGTTCGCATAGGTAAGGTCGCATTCGCAAAGGATTGGACAGTTGGAGCTTCGTGTTCGCGTGGAGTATGTCGCGTTCGCGAAGGAGCAATAATTAGTCAGTGGAATTTTGTTCTTCGCAAATGCGAGGGAGCTACTGCGTTCGCGAAGAAGGAATTTATCCCTCGGCAGAATGTTTAAATAGTTGCCTTCGCGATTTTTAGTCTATTTTCCACTATTGCTGAGCGGTTTTGAAGTTTTTTGAGAGGGATTGAAGAGGGAATCAAAGGAAACACTTGGAGGTAAGATTTTTGAACTCAATACTTGATTCTGTGATGATTTCTAACTAATTGGACATGAAATTAGTGGGATTTAAAGCCTAAAATTGGGGAATTAGGGCTTGAAATTGGAGAGTGTAAATTGAGGATTTGAGGGACCATTTGAGGTCCGATTTTGACGTTCTTGGTATGTACGGACTCGTGGAAGGATAAGGATTCTATTGATGTGATATTTATCGAATTCCGAGACATGCGTGGGGGGTCGGGTTTGACCAATTTCGGGATTTTTGATGTAATTTGATAATTTTCGCATGGGCTTCGTTCCCTTAGCATATATTGATATTATGATTCTGATTATGGATAGATTCGACGTGAATTGAGGCCGAGTTGAGGGGCAAAGGCATCGCGGGTAAGATTTTGGACCGGATTGAGGTAAGTAATGATTGTAAATGTTGTCCTGAGGGTATGAAACCCCGGATGTTACATCGTGGTGCTACTGTGAGGTGACGCACACGCTAGATGATGAGTGTGGGGTCGTGCACCATTAGCGATTGTGACTTGGTCCATCCCGTATGACTATTAAGTTGCGTATTTGATTGAAAACTATTTGATATCAGTGTAATTTGTAAAGTATTACTATGTTTTGGGTTGAATGCCATATTTAGGCCTCGTGCCAACTGTTTTGGACCCTTAAGGGCTTTTTACTACTATTCCTCACTGTTTTGACTTAATATTTATACTCAGTCATGCTATATTTTATTGATTTCATAACTCAGTCGTATTTACTCCGTTTTGATACTTTAAATGATATCTTGGGCTAAGCATTTTGTTTTGCTGTTTCCTGAGTGACTTGAGAGGTTTCTGACTGAGTGAGGCCGAGAGCCTGTATTGTGAGAATATTATGGGATCGGGCTGCACGCCGCAGTAGGTTGTTACTGATTCATGATATTGTGACGCCGAGGGCCTGATAGATTTATGCCACGAGGTGGCTTGTTGTTATGTGAGGCCGAGAGCCTGATTGATTATGCCACGAGATGGCTTGTTATAGCGCTTGGACTGTAGGAGCCCCTCCGGAGTCTGTACACCCCTAGTGAGCACGGGTACCCAGTGTGAGTGATGTGATGTAGCTCGAGGGGCTGTTGTTGATTCATGTTATTGCCCGAGGGGCTGTTCTTGATCCATGTAGCCCGAGGGGCGGTTTTTGATCCATGTTTTGCCCGAGGGGCTAATTACGAGTGATTGTGAAGTAGCCCGAGGGGGTGGTTCTGTTGATCTTATGCCCAAGGGGCGGTTTATAGTACATGTTTTGCCCGAGGGGTTGTTTACGTTTTCTATCCTTTTTCTAACTATTTTCATCACTTGTTTGAAACGATTGAAAGATGTTTAAAAGAAAAGGTTTTACTGAAACTGAGTTGTTTTACAAGAAAAATGGTTTCTGCTTTGTTTTGAGCAATGTACTGTATTTGTTGTAGTGTTATGATGTGAAATTATGTGCTTTCTTACTGCTTAGCTTTCATTTACTTTTATTACTTACTGAGTTGGCGTACTCACATTACTCCCTGCACTATGTGTGCAGATCGAAGAGTCTCAGGACGCGATAGTGAGTGCTGATCGGTATTCCAGCAGGTCCCCGGAGTTGACTAGGTAGCTTCTTGGTTTTCGCAGCCCAGTGCTTGTCCATTCCTATCTTATTGATATTGTCTTAGTATTTTATTTTCAGACTATGTTGTCCTTCCTTGTTCCTAGACGTGTTGTAGTTGCTCATGACTTGTGACACTCCGATGTCGGGCTTGTGTTATATTTCTGCACTGTTTGTTTAAACTTACATTTATGAGAATTTAGTTAATTAATGGTTTTAAATGACTTCTTATGATCTTCTGATTGATTTTGGGTTTGTGTCGGCTGGCCTAGTTTCACGATAGGCGCCATCACGACCGGGTCACTTTTTAGGGTCGTGACAGATACTTGATGAGTACATTGGGTCGATTGTACTCTTGTTACACTCTGCACTTACTTGTGTAGATCCGGGTGTCGAACCCATCCATCAGTAGCTGAGGCTTGTGGCAGAGTTGATTACTGAGAGGCGAGGTAAAACTGCATTCTCGACCGCAGTCTTGGCATCTCTTTTCTTATGTACTGTTGTCTTTAGTTCAGACAATATTATTATTTAACTTTTCAGACTTGTAATCCATTGCAGAGCTCATGACTCTGTATTTACTAGTTCTAGGAGATTTTTATCATGTATTGGTATTATTATGCTATGTTAAGATTTTAGACTTATGTTGATTATGTCATTTCTGCTATCTTGGTACATTATGATTATATCCAGCTTGTCTAGCAAGTATGTTAGGAGCCATCAAGACCGGTTAGGATTTTTGGTTCACGACAACTCTTTATTCTACTATATAATAAGTGGAAGTTTAGTGTACGATGAAGGGCAATCCTGAAATGCTATTGTTTTTAAGGGCATTTTGGTATTGCTTCTTAATTTCACTTCATCCACATATAAAGCCACATGTAGTAGTTCTCCTTATACTTTAATATGAAAAACCTAAGCTGAGCTTTTTCTTTCCATATGTGAAATTGGGCTTCGAAATTCCAGATGTCCAATTTCAAGCACCACGTGGATTTACACTTTCCCCACCCTTTTCTTATTCTCTCCATATCAAAGCTAAGATATTCAGTCTCCCACTCTTTTTATTGCTTCTTCGGCCTTTCTTCCTGGTGAGTTTTTCTTCTCCTCTTTCTTACTTTTTTCTCAGCTTTTGGTTTTAGATATCTGATCTCTTTTAATTTTTAATTTTTAACTTTTGGGTATTCTGAACATCTCATGTAACAAATACATCCTTGAACTTATTATTCAATGGAATCTATTTTAGGTTCTTTCCGTATATGAATTAATGTTTTGAAAAGATAATCAGACATTTCGTGGATCTCTATCTCGGTTTCAAGGTTCTCCGTTTTGTCTAATTTGCTAAGCTTTCAATTTGTGGGTAAATTTTTTCTATATTCTTTTCCTTTCCGTTTATTTTCTTCTAGCTGTCATTTTATTTTTATTTTTTACTTTTGGTACTCCTTTTTGGGTTTCATTTGTAGCTTTTCAAGTTTCTCACTATAAAAGCAGGGAGATGGATATTATTTGTTTTTCCTCTGTTTTTCCAACCATGCATGTGTTAATTTAGAGCAATTTTTGCTTTTTCTTTGTTAATGGGATTGTTAGTAATAACAATTAAAGCGATTTCCTAAATTTTTTCGTCATGTCTTTGTTTCTATTTATGCTGGATTCCTCTTGGTCTTCCTCTTTTTTTTTTTTTTTTGATTTCTTTATGCTTTCTGCATTTTATGTTTTGCATGTGTGAGCTCATTGAGATGAATATCGGAAGTTACTTTATAGTGATTAGCACCTACAAACTTCATATTTCTATCTCTTGTTTCAGAATAAAATTTAGGACATCTAGAGCTTTTGGCTATTTTTGTTGATTACCTACATGCATGGCAACTGAAATTCTTTTTCTGCTGAAAATTTTATTATCTTTACTGTTTCTGATGAAATTTATGCTACACTGAATAGTTTTTCGCTATTTTTATTTTTTTTAGATAAATTTATGTGGGTTGATCCATGGGAAAGTATGGGTCAAGAGTTAGGCATTTTCTTTGTACGATCTCTTAATTAGGTAGGATTAGCATCTAAGTAGTAATACTTTCTTTTCCTCTTTCATCTTCTAATTTTGGGATTTGGCCTTCCCTGATTTTGACTGAGTTACCATATGTCCTGCATGTGTTAGCTATTCTATTTCTGATTCTTGTTAAAAATCTTTCTTCTTCCTCCTCCTCTTTCTTTTTTCAGTAATTTTGTTGGAATAATGGGGACTTGTTTATTTCAATCTTTGCAGGATTATTCTTTGTCTTCCTCTTTTTTGAGGCTTTATTCATGCTTCATGTCTTCCAATTTTCAACTTCTAATTTTGGAAATTGGCCTTTCCTGATTTTGACTGAATTATCCTATGTCTTGCATGTGTTAGTTATATGTTGGGATGAATGGTGAAAGTTAATTTATAGTGGTTACTTGCTAAATTTGGTCTTCATATCTGCTGTTTTGAATAAAATTTAGGACCCCTCCATGTGTGGGTATTATGGTAAATAGCATGGATCTTTTACCTTTCCACGTTTGATTTGTTGTCAGATCCACTTTACCTTCATAGCTTTTTCTTGTAAAATTTAGCAAGTAACTTATCATTTGCCTTACTAATTTCTCTATTCTATTTTCTATAGTTTCGCTTGCTCTTTCTCCCATTTTGGTGAGTTTTTCTTTCTATTTTTCTTTTTTTTGTCAGTTTTGTTTTTAATCTTCTATTTTTTTTGCTTACTTCTTCTTCGTTTTATTTCTATCTTTTATTTTCTTTGTGTTTGTTACCTGCGTTATGTATTCTTTGGAATAATTTGGTAAAATTTCTGTTTCCTCACTACAAAGAAGAGAAATGGACATTTGTTTGCTTATTCCTCTGTGTTTTCAATCATGCATGTATTTTAATTATGTTTCAATATAAAATTCTAGGTCTAATATTCTCTGATCTCTATCAAGCTATTTTGTGTGCTGGATGTGTTACCTACAACTTGAATTAAACAACGAAAATTAAGATGTAGATGTGTGTTATAATTCTTTGTGGTATTTTGGGCTGCTGGTTTTTGCTAATAATTGAGCACATTCAAAATTTTGTTGTTCTGTTAGTAGTGAACTTATTCATATCTGCTTATTTGCATGTTCTTAAATTAGACTAACAGAAACAAAAACAGAAAAGGAAGTGGGTTTCGATCCAAAAACAACACCGTCTGCTTTTACCTTCAGCTGTATACACGCATGATATTTACCTCAAGCAATACTAATATATCATATTTTTCCCGCAAATTATCGCATATGTTTCCTCGATTCAGTTAGAATATAATGGTTATTCAATTTTATTTTTCAGGCTCTTGAGAGTGAACTTTGCTCTGGGGGAAAGTGAAAACAGTATTGCTACACCAGGTAATTTTTGCAGCTTCTGATCTATAACGTTATATGTTTAGCTACAACGCAACTTGCTTCTACCTTATGTTTTATGTTATAATATGGGAATAGATTAAATGTTACCCTTATAAATTTTCAACTTTAACAAAAGGCCTATATGAAATGTGTGCAAGTCAAATGTCTTCTAACAAAAGAAAGATGGATAAAGACCTAATTGATCACACGACAGACAATCCATATCTTTGTGCCAAAAATAGTGAAAGAAACCTTAGGCGACATATCGCGTATAGAGAGATGCCACCTGATAAAAAGGCAGCACTTCTAGAGCAACGTCGGACTGAATATGCTGCGAGAAACCGTCGTCTTTCTGAAATTCTTCCGCCAATCCTTCCGATCAAAGTCATTCTTCTTCCGAATCTCAAAGGATGATTCCAGGACAAGCTGCTACCTTCGTCCGAGACATACCTTCTTCTTTCCGAAATGGTTGGTTGAATTGAACTGTAATATTCGATTAACTTCCGGCATTTTAGGCTATCCTCAGATAGTTAACATATTTTTAGGTGTTGCTTGTATATTACACGCTCTACATCAGGAACATATAATGAAAATTTAACTATTTATGATGTTGCAGGACGCACCTCAACATAGGTAGGGTGCTGAAATATCAACTAGCTACCCAGCTATCCTTCCGTTCTAAAAAGGGTTCCGAATTGTAAATTCTGCGGAGCTAGAAGATTTCAATATGAAACTCCTAGCTTTTGTTGTAGTAATGGTTCGGTAAATTTAGTTTCACAACGCCTACCTTCTGAGTTAAAAAGCCTCTACTTTGGCGTGAACGATGAATCCAATCATTTCCGTACTTATATTAGAACATACAACAACATGTTCGTATTTACTTCACTTTGTGTAAAGTACGATAAGGAATTAGAAAAAATGTCACGATCCAAAATACACCAGTCGTGATGGCACCTAACTCAACCCGCTAGGTAAGCCAATTAACAATTATCCAATTTCATTTAACTTAATAAAATAATTAAATAAGAGAATTATCTAAATATTATACATTTCCCAAGGATTGGTATTACAAATCATAAGCTTCAACGAATGGAGTTTACAAAGCAACAATGGAACAATTACATAGTCTATTGAAAAGTACATAAACAGAATTTTATAGTCTAAGGCTACCGTGAACAAAAGGCAGCTACAGTAGGAATGCGGGTACGCCTTCAAATCTAGCAACCATCGAGCATAGCAAGATCGACATCCGGGATCTGCATGCACTGTGCAAGAAGTGCAGTATGAGTACAACCGACCTTATGTACTTAAAAAGTAACAAACCTAACCTTAGATTAAAAGTAGTGATGAGCTAACACCGGATCGGGTCCAAAGCCAATATTTCCATAACAATTCATAACAACATAAATGCAAGTATAAAAGAGATATCTCAAAAGGAACATACTCAGCTCGTTCACAGTTCCAGAAAATGGTCATGCTTTTCAAATATCTCAGTGAAAGAAAATCCCAGAGCTCTTACCGAAAATGCTAAACGTACGAGTAAGTTTGAAAACTGTAATTTTTCAAATATCCTTCCCAAATAAATAAAATGTTTCATTGTGTTTCCAAATAACAAATATAAAGTACCTCTCCATAGCCACATATCAATATATATAATAAGTCATGAATGACGTGATACTATATAGCATGAGGAAGAATGCATCTCTATGCCTGTATGTCATGTATGCATGTGAATGCCATGTATCTCAGAGATGAAACATGTACTCACACTCTCAGAGTACTCAATCTCATTACCTTGCATCCTCTCTTACTAAGCTCAATACTCAGCACACTAAATCACTCAACATTGTATAATAACTGTTGTGGCGTGCAACCTGATCCATATATATATATAGTCGACCGTGCTCACTGGTAGTGTACAGACTACGGAGGCATGTAGCCCGACCCAATATCGTTGCAGCGTGCAGCCCGATCCATATATCGTTGTGGCGTGCAGCTCGATCCATATATATATACATATAGGCCCTCAGCCTCACTCAGTCATCACTCTCTCCAGTATCGCTCACGGGCTCAAAATGTCATGAAACTAGCCCGACAATAATAATATAATGCATCAACAACAATAGCTGAGACTGAGATATGATATGAATGCATGAATATGACTGAGTACAAAATATCAACGGAAATTAGTGAGATGACAACAAGAAATAACCACTATGGGTACAAACAATATCAGCATAAAGTCTAAAATTGATATTTAGTATGATTGATAGCTCAATTACTTTATCACATGATTAAAACACAAATATCAACAAAATAGGGCCACTATACAGGGCCATGGGAACAACAGAGTCCCATTTCATAGGGTGCACGCCCACACGCCCGTCATCTAGTATGTGCGTCACCTCAATACCGATCACATAACACATAGTTTGGGATTTTATACCCACAACACTAAGCTTAGAAGAGTTACTTATCTTAAACAAGCCAATTCCGATACCGAGCAAGCCAAGCGATGCTCTAAGAATCCCATCACGCACGTTTCAACCTCCGAATGGCTCGAAACTAATGATAAACAACTCAAATACATCAAACAATGCTAAAGGAACCAATCCCAATCGGAAAAGGTCGAATCTTTAATCAAAAGCCTAAAATCGGCCAAAAGGCCCAACCCGGGCCTGCACCTCGGAACCCGACAAAACTCATAAAATACGTCAAGCCATTCAATTACGAGTTCAACCGTACTTGTTTCACTCAAATCCAACTCTGAATCGGTGTTCAAAACTCAAAAATTCATATTATGAAACTTTAGGCCAAAACCCCCAATTTCTTCTTTAAAATTCATCAACCAAAAGCTAAAATCGAAGATAGATTCGTGAAATATAACCAAAACTTAGTAGAGAACACTTATCCAATTCATATGCTGAAAAGCACCTCGAAAAATTGCCCAATTCCGAGCTTCCCTACTAAAAATATGTTAAATGCATAAAACTCTCGTTTTAACACTATTCTGCCTTGTTTCTTGTGCAAAAGATCTCAAAACTCACTTTTGATACCTCCAATGGATTCTTTGTGAAATTCTAGTTGAGTTAGGCTCTTGAATCACTCCATTTGACCTTATATTGAAGGAGATATGTTGGTTTCAATATTTAAAAATAGTGCAGATTTTTAAATACGCAGCAGTGGCAATTTTGTAATTAATCTGAAAAATCTGGCAACTCAATTCTTAGTAAAATGACCCTAAAATCCCCATACGGTCTCCAAATTTGATGATTCTTTTTGTTATAACTCCGTAATTACGATACGGATCTAATGCTACAACAAAAACAGGAATCGGAGCTCATTTGATTAATGTGGTACCATTTATGCTTGAAGAAACGACGTCGAAACATAACAAATACGAGCGCAACACAACCCAAACCTATCCGAAATTCACCTGAGCCGCTCGAGACCCCGTCTAAACATACCAAAAAGTTCCATATCATAATACGGACCTACTCGAGGCCTCAATACACACATAACAATATCGAAACGACAAAATGCACTTCAAATCAAACTTAATAACTTTCGAACTTTCGACTTCCAAAAACTCACGCCGAAACATATCAAATCAACTCGGAATGAACCCAAATTTCATACACAAGTCGTATAAATCACATGGAGCTACTAGTGCCCCCAAACTACCGAGCGAAGTGCAAATGCTCAAAACGACTGGTCGAGTCATTACATTCTTCCCCACTTAAACATACGTTCGTCCTTGAACGTACCCAAAGTTGTTCCAAAAGCCATCAAATCGCTGTGTAACCTCACTATGCTCATACCCGGGGGTGATCCCATGTCACCTTATCCCATATAGGTCTGATAGCACAACATGACTGAAATATTTTAATCCAACCTAGCCAATAAGCCTTAGAACCAAATTTTTCACATTCAAAATTTTCCATAAAATCAGAATCTCGCATCTACACACTGTATAAGTCTGAAAAAGTTATATCAAGCCATATCCGTAACCCAAGATGAATCACATGATATACCATATAACTCAAACACTCATAGCAATAACTTCTAACCACAATAGTTGCTCAAAACAACCCAATACCCGTAATAAACCTTTTATCAAACAGAGCCTCATTCTGACACCTTCATATACTGCCAATGATGAAAGAAACACGCATAAACTCATAACCATTCGTTAAACCAACAAGTTGTGGAACTCCCTGTCCTTTGATAGGAACTATAGCAAATATCTAAGCCGATCAACATTAATATCCTTCCAAATATACCGCATTCTGATCTGATAGCACCCATTCTAGGTACAATGACCTCATCCCATCTAACATATTCACTCTAGTGACATGACACATTAATACAATCTAAAGCCGCAACTTGTGCAATCCGTGCACCAATAAGAAACATTCAAAATGTACTCAATCATGAAAAATGACTCAGACGAGGGAATTATCTCTCAAGCTCAACAGGTACCTCCATAAAGCAATGCTAAGAACCTATCACACACCGTATAACCAAAACACACGAATCTAACACAAAGGATCATGTCTCAACATAACTCTGCTACAATATGTGACCCATCCAAACGTTGGTCCATATTATATACCTCGAGCCATCCTTCTCAAAATCAATAACCACGCAAAATTCAACATCAAGCATACAAGTGCATTACCATAACCACAAAGAGCAAATAACATACTACCATAATCAGGAAAGAACATAGCCAACGCGCAATCAATCATGTAATACCTAAATACTCATCTCTTTCAAATTTTGTTATAAAGCTCAAATAAAACCGCACCATATGTGCATATAACCAATGAATCACCACTCCTCGTAGCATAGAAGAGTAGCTCATAGATCATTTCAGAACACGAATAAGCTCAACAACAACCAAATGGCGCATCCCTCAGCAAAAGCACTGTGGAGCCAACCAATCGGACTCGGTGTAGAATACACATCCTAATTGGGCCTACCTATGGACCACAAAATCAACTTTGGTCACCCACAAATAGATAAATAATCCTCCAAAAGTCCACAATGACTGAATTATGACACATACTATCACCTGGCTAGCTTCAACCATACTTCACAGTCCATAACCATGCAACAATCTGCTCCTGAGAGCTCCAAGTCTCCAAATCCATAGAACACATGAATCACCATATATGATCCCAACTCCACCACCTAAATGTCTAACAGATCTCTCATACATGATCTTCCCGCGAGGAATACTTCTATAATTCTTTTGTGCCGCAAAGCAAAATTTGAACACAACAGTTGATTAACTAGGAGAGTGCCGCAATACTAATGAAGTATCTATAAATCAAAACACATCCCCCTTCTAAAATGTATACTCTCTTCAAGCCATATCAAATAGTAATGTTATTTACCTAGTCATCTGAAACTGTCCATGTTGCCTAAGGACTTATGACCTCCCCTTCAAAACTGAACCGTGATCTTACACATGCAAATCTCAATCCTACACAACACACCGCATATACTATGCCATCATACAAAAAATACGAGAACTTTGTAATCCACTCCGAGTCACAAGCAACTACTTACTCAATTAGCCAAAAACTTTCCATTTGATTTCATCCGGAGAAAATCACTATACATCATATGCTCCTTATGCCAGTAAAAAATATATATCTCCAACCATGGTAGAAACTATCGAGAACTCTTCGAAACCCATTTGCACATAACCAAACCATCAGAACTGAATCTCTCAAACTCAACAAAGCCACACAGACCACCAAAACCCAAGAGTACCGCCACAAAACACCTGTAGAAACTCACTACCTCATAAGGACCAAAAGAGCCAATCACATCCATTACCATGCCGATCCAACCTACTACCAAGC